GTGTGTGTGTGTGTGTGTGTGTGTGTGTGTGTGTGTGTGTGTGTGTGTGTGTGTGTGTGTGTGTGTGTGTGTGTGTGTGTGTGTGTGTGTGTGTGTGTGTGTGTGTGTGTGTGTGTGTGTGTGTGTGTGTGTGTGTGTGTGTGTGTGTGTGTGTGTGTGTGTGTGTGTGTGTGTGTGTGTGTGTGTGTGTGTGTGTGTGTGTGTGTGTGTGTGTGTGTGTGTGTGTGTGTGTGTGTGTGTGTGTGTGTGTGTGTGTGTGTGTGTGTGTGTGTGTGTGTGTGTGTGTGTGTGTGTGTGTGTGTGTGTGTGTGTGTGTGTGTGTGTGTGTGTGTGTGTGTGTGTGTGTGTGTGTGTGTGTGTGTGTGTGTGTGTGTGTGTGTGTGTGTGTGTGTGTGTGTGTGTGTGTGTGTGTGTGTGTGTGTGTGTGTGTGTGTGTGTGTGTGTGTGTGTGTGTGTGTGTGTGTGTGTGTGTGTGTGTGTGTGTGTGTGTGTGTGTGTGTGTGTGTGTGTGTGTGTGTGTGTGTGTGTGTGTGTGTGTGTGTGTGTGTGTGTGTGTGTGTGTGTGTGTGTGTGTGTGTGTGTGTGTGTGTGTGTGTGTGTGTGGGTGTGTGTGGGTGTGTGTGTGTGTGTGTGTGTGTGTGTGTGTGTGTGTGTGTGTGTGTGTGTGTGTGTGTGTGTGTGTGTGTGTGTGTGTGTGTGTGTGTGTGTGTGTGTGTGTGTGTGTGTGTGTGTGTGTGTGTGTGTGTGTGTGTGTGTGTGTGTGTGTGTGTGTGTGTGTGTGTGTGTGTGTGTGTGTGTGTGTGTGTGTGTGTGTGTGTGTGTGTGTGTGTGTGTGTGTGTGTGTGTGTGTGTGTGTGTGTGTGTGTGTGTGTGTGTGTGTGTGTGTGTGTGTGTGTGTGTGTGTGTGTGTGTGTGTGTGTGTGTGTGTGTGTGTGTGTGTGTGTGTGTGTGTGTGTGTGTGTGTGTGTGTGTGTGTGTGTGTGTGTGTGTGTGTGTGTGTGTGTGTGTGTGTGTGTGTGTGTGTGTGTGTGTGTGTGTGTGTGTGTGTGTGTGTGTGTGTGTGTGTGTGTGTGTGTGTGTGTGTGTGTGTGTGTGTGTGTGTGTGTGTGTGTGTGTGTGTGTGTGTGTGTGTGTGTGTGTGTGTGTGTGTGTGTGTGTGTGTGTGTGTGTGTGTGTGTGTGTGTGTGTGTGTGTGTGTGTGTGTGTGTCGCATAACTCATGAACCGATACACAGAAAAACACCAAAACACCAAATTTTGAACTTAAGCTTTTTTCCAGCGTCCAATAAATTGATTAGATTTTGAGCAGAGTCGGAAGGTCTGGGGGGGTACTTTATGGGTCGTCATTTTTATATTTTATGGAATATATCTGTTATTTACGTTTGGGAAAAAAATGTTTTCAAGTAAAAGTTACTTACTATATTATTATCTATAATTTTTGTTTTATACAAAATTTTCCTAAAATGATCCGTATTCGAGAAATTTGACAAAATGTAAAAAAATATTTTTTTATAAAAATTGTTCAAATAAAAGATGTTTATAATATAATATATATTATAATATTCTCTATAATTTTTATCCAATACATAATTTTTCTAAAATGGACCGTATTCGATAAATTTGAGAAAATTGTAAATTTTGAAATTTGAAGAAAACTCAAAAACGGATAAAGAAAAATACATTAAATTTTAAAAGTAAGTTTTATTTCGGCCTGACGTGAAATGATTAGATTTTGGACAAAGTCGGAACATCTATGGGGTACTTTATGGGAGGTCGTTTTTATATTTTATGGAATATATCTGTTATTTATGTTTGGAGAAAAAAATTTTTTCAATAAAAGTTACTTCTAATATTATTATCTATAATTTTTGCTTTTTGTCAAAATTTCCTGAAATGGTCCGTATTCGAGAAATTTGACAAAATGTGCAAACTTCTGATTTTTATGAAAATTGTTAAACTAAAAGTTGTTTACGATATCGATCTCTATAATTTTTGTTTTTACATGATTTTTCTAAAATGGACCGTAATGAAAAAATTGTAGGAAATTTAAATTTTTCAGTATTTTCGTTTTCAATGAATATCTATAGAAAAATGTTTCGAGGTAGATGTATGTGGACAATGTCTATATTTAGTTTATCCTCTAAAAATTTATAGAAATGCTGCAATAGGTTGTACAAAATAACCGGAAAAAGCCTATAATAAATAGATAGGAAAGTCATTTGTTGGACACATCAGATTTTTAAATGTAATACCCTGTACCCTACCACCAATTAATTAATACAGTCAATTCCATTAAAAAAATTAAAAAAATCGTAACCTCGCCTTTTAACACACCCTATATATAACAAAATGAATAAAGTCAATTAAAATTATTTGACGACCTAAAAACAATCAAATATGTATAAACTACCTGCAGGGTGTTTTGCTTTAAAAATGTATAGGTTTGGTCAACACCTCTTTTATGGACCACCCTGTATATTGAAGAATAATTTTTAAATATGGTCATACAACTTTTATATTATTTTTTAAGCTATTGCATAGCTTTTATCGCGGGCTTTGGGCGCGGAGACCGAATCCAGAAATCGAAAAATCAAAAAATCAAAAAAATCAAAAAATCAAAAAATCAAAAAATCAAAAAATCAAAAAATCAAAAAATCAAAAAATCAAAAAATCAAAAAATCAAAAAATCAAAAAATCAAAAAATCAAAAAATCAAAAAATCAAAAAATCAAAAAATCAAAAAATCAAAAAATCAAAAAATCAAAAAATCAAAAAATCAAAAAATCAAAAAATCAAACAAATCAAAAAATCAAAAATTCAAAAAATCAAAAAATCAAAAAATCAAAAAATCAAAAAATCAAAAAATCAAAAAATCAAAAAATCAAAAAATCAAAAAATCAAAAAATCAAAAAATCAAAAAATCAAAAAATAAAAAAATCAAAAAATCAAAAAATCAAAAAAGCCGTGCATCGTCTAACGTCGTTTCAGTTCGGCAGAATTCGGCACGGTGTTTGTGTGGGTGCGACTAGACGTATGCGTGTAGACTAGCTGCTTACTGCGCATAACAGATTTTATCTTTTTTAGACACAATTTCGGAAAAATTGAATTTGAAAATGTACAAATGTACAAATCCACAAGAATCCACAACAAAATATGGGACCACCATTGACGCGGTATTTTTCAGATATTTACAGAAACATAAGTCTCAAACTTATGTTTCTTATTTCAGTTACCATAAACCTATAGTTTCAAGGATAAAAATTCCTGAATAACCTACATGTATTGTAAAATAATAAAAATATTTTAAACAATATTAACTTCTCATTTATTCAATAAAAAAAAATTGTTTTCTTATCGGTCACCACGCTCAAAAAGTGTAACTTTGTAACTTGAATTAATATCAAAGAAAAAACTTGAATTAATATCAAAGAAAAAAAAATTCTGCATAAATAAAATAAATAAATAATTATAATTGCATAAGTTGATAAAAAAAAATGCTATAGCTTTACCGCGGCAGTCCCCGAGTGAGTGCCACACGTATTTTTTTCTTATTTTCAATAATAAAACAGCTATCGATCAATTACGCACTGATAGGACACTCTGTATATGTGTAATTCTCTAACATGTAGGCAAATTTATAAGGAATTGTATGCTTAAATATTATACCGGGTATTGCCTTTGAAAAAATTAAGTAAATTGGACGTAAAAGTAGCCATATATAAGATATGTTTCAAAACACTCGATATAAAAGAATCCAGCACTATCACCCCTATTCGTTATCTTAATGTGCTATAAGTATGTATATTAAACAATTTTGAAATCAATGTAATCCTACCCAAATTATGATAATTTAATTTACGGTCTGCATCATAATATTTTTTAAACATTCTAGCTTGAATACAGTATTACCAAACCATTCTAAAACTGAAATAAAATACATGTTGTTCTATTTTAAAAATATGCCAGGCAAAAATGTAACACCCTGTATTTTCAAAAATATTTTTAAAATGTGTATTTTCCAAATCTACATAACTTTTCTTGAAAACATGTTTGCGTGTCTTTAACAGTAATTAAAATATTAAACAATTACGCACTAATAGGACATACACAAGGGTATATACATATACACATACCAGTCAACGTGTTAACTCAGAAATAAAATTCCTTATAAAGATAAAATAACATTCAGAAGAAGAAAGCAAGTCCCGCAAATATTACGTGCGTACCATACAGTGATGCCAGGTCATTTGGATTCAAATTACATCGGAATGCAATAAAGTTCCTTTCCTGCGTTTCACCCCCTTTAAAATTAAATTCGTCCGAGAAAAAATTGTGAAATTATCATATAAATCGATAATTATGGTACATCTGGCAACGTGGCAAATACTTGTTCATACGCAAGAAACATATATCGATAATTTTGTATCTGTAACAAAGCAAGACAAATATATATGATAATTACGAAACAATAAAAGACGGCATACAGCTGTATCACTGTTTCAAAAATTGGTACCTCTAAACAATCATTCACCTATTAAAACCATCTCTAAAACAGAGTGGCTACATTTTTTTTATAGTGACATCTTCTTAAAAATAGATGAACTACGCAATTACAGGTATTCATAGAATATCTCTAATTTGACAAATAAATTTCCAGTTAGATTTGGAAAATACCCAATAAAATTTAGAAATATTTTGGGGGGATATTTGGAAAAATATGTAGAATGAAATATCATATTTTTTAGCTTTGGTTTTTAAAATGACTTTTTATGATTTTTTTAAAATTAAGTGTATAAACAGGACAAATAAAAAATTATACTTTAAGATGGTAGAAGATTTATTTTAATACATTTAATGGGATTTAAATGCAATCGGAAATGGTAAACCCTTGCTTCTTATATGAAAAATACAGTGATACTGCAGCCTTAAGAAAACATGTTCACTTGCTTTTAACTTTTAATATGTACATGTAATTGTATAAGCGTTGCTTTTATTTTTTCAGATGTTGTTAACCTCATCCTGGATAATTGATTCGGCGATAATTTTAACAAGTTTAATTTATCTCCTCTATAAATATTTTACAAGAAATTTCGACTACTGGAAGAAGGAGGGTGTGTTTTATTTCAAACCAACTCCATTCTTTGGTAACTTCTATGGAGTCGTTACTATGAAAACATCACTTGCTGACACTCTCAAAACCCTTTACGATAAAACTGACGAACCATACTTCGGAGCTTTTACTTTCGATGAGCCTATTTTAGTGGTAAAATCACCTCAGTTATTAAAACACATCTTGATCAAAGACTTCACTTACTTCAAACACCGCACGTTCGCAGAAGGAAGTCATAATAAAATAATTTCAAATTGGTTATTTTTTCAAAAATACACAGCATGGAAACAAACTCGTTCTAAATTATCCCTGATGTTTACTTCTGGAAAACTCAGAAATTATGTTTCACTCTATTAGCGATACTTCCGCATTATTCGCAAAATACTTAAATGATAATTTGGGAGTTTTAGAAGCTAAGGAGATTTGCATGAGATATACAACCGAAAAGCACTGTCAAATGCTTTTTCGGAATCAATGGAAAATGCTTCGAAAAAGGTCATAGCGAATTAAATGAAATCAGTAAAAGAATTTTCGAAATGTCTCTCAGGAATGGCATCATTCACTCGTTTATACGTTTAAGCCTTTCTTGGTGGACTTGTTCAGGTTGAATTTTATGAGACAAGCGGATGTAGATTACCTTTTGGAAGCTTTCAAAACCAGCTATAACAGTAGAAAGACTATAAAAAAAGGAAGTAAAGGGAAAATCGTGGACTATATTGATATTATATTGGAAAGTGAAGATAGTAATGGTACTTCAAAGTCTGATTATGATTCAGGTATGTAACTATATTATTGAAATGCAATATATTAAGCAAATTTAATACCGGTTCCAATTAATTTTTGACATAAAATGTATGGGTTTAAATTTCTGGGATATAGAGCTACCATGTTTGTAATAAAAAGCATGCTTAGGTAAAACGTTGTTTCCGATAAGTTGAAAATTCATAAATTATTAATGGTTATAATTTATAATTTTAATAAATTTGTCAAATGTTTTTAGTTTTATACATGGGTAAGTAACACCGTTTAAATTTTACGCCACTGTTCAAAAACTTATTTGGGACTATAATTTAAATTTTGTTATTGTTTTTTACACAAATGTACTCTTTGAATTTTTGAAATTTTGAAATTTTATTATTTTTCAACAAGAGTATATGATTTATTAAAAAAAAAATAAAAAATTATAGCCAAATAAGTTTTTGGACAGTAGCGTAAAATTCAGAAAGGTTGTTAACTACTGGCAAAGTTTATTTTACTTACTTTTTTGATGATAGTTATATTTTATGATATCCAAAATGTCTACAAAATTTAGTAAAATTAAACTGAGTAATAAAAAAATTATGGCCATTAAATTTTCAACTTAATCAACTTATTTCGGAAACGAGTAAAATTTTATCCAAGAATGATTCGTTTAATCAACTTATTTTTATTCAGAGAATCTTCAGTCGGTTTATGTCCCATTCTTAATTGAACACCCTGTAGTTAGGGTAAATGCGATAGTTGTTGGCCAGATGATAGTTATTGGCCAACTTCAGCTTTATTAATTTTTATTAAGTTTCGGTTTAAATTTATCTAAATTATAAATTATTCAATAAAATCCAGCAACATCTTATTACATCATCAACCATGCTTGTACCCGCCACATTTTAGTATTTGGCTTTATTTGAAGGATAAAGTTGTGCTTTCGCAGCAGAGTTAAATATATACGAAAATTACAGTTTTTCTTAAGAAGGTGCTGCATTATAGTAAGTTATATTTATTGTAGGTTTTATTTATATTTGACAGGTTTGGTATATTATTGATAATTTATTGGTAAACTTTCGTATTTTTATTTAATATTGTGTAATGTTTATATTTTTTCCGGTTTTTTTTGAGTGGCCAACTACTGTAGCGTAGATGAGCACGTGAAATATTTATTGGCCGGGTGGCCAATAACTGTAACTAATCGGAATATAGTTTTTTGTTAAAAAACAATATTTTCTATTGAAATTTATGATTTATTTCATATTTTGTTTATGATTTCTAAATATAATGAATTTTAAACAGTAGTTGGCCGGGTGTCAATTACTATCTTATATGGGTGGCCAATATCTGTAACAGGAATAATTTAGTTATAAAATATGTAACGTTTTACGGCGCAGGTAATAACGTTATGACCCACCTCTCGTAGTTTTTATAGATTGTTTGAGTTAGCCAATTGAGTAAACAATGACTTGTAACGTATTATAGTTGGCTACTTGTTTGGATCATGGTTTTGTAGAGGTAGACGTCAATTTTTTAAACTGTTTTGTCGTAAAGAAAATTACACCATACATTAAAATATCACTTTTTCTATTCCGGTAAAAAACTAATATTTTAGATTTCGTTTAAATTTTGCAAACAAAATTCAATTAGACTGTTTTTTGTAGAAATGCCGAAAGTCAATAAAGATGAAAAATATTTTAAAAGTTATACGGAACAGGATATCCAGAAAGCTTTAGATGCAAATAAAAATGGCGTCAGTCAAAGAAAAGCGGCTGCAGAATTTAAAGTTCCTAGAGCAACCTTGCAGTTTCATACAAGTGAGAAATTTAAAGAAAAAGTTACGCATAGACCAGATCCTATATTAAGTAACCAAGAGGAAATATTTTTAACCAACTGGATCCTAGAATGTCAACGAAAAGGATTTCCACTTCGAATCGAGAATGTTCAAGCTTCAGTGAAATCATTTTGAGATGAAAATCCACGAAATAATCCCTTCAGGGAAAATACACCTGGAAGAGGGTGGTTCAAGGCATTTTTAAAGCGCCATCCTTCTATAACCTTAAGAACTCCAGAGGCTATAACGACAGCAAGCAGTAATGTTTTAGAGTCAGATATTAGAAATTGGTTTTCTCAAATGCATTCCTATTTAAAAGAAAAAGGATATGATCATATACTAAACGATCCATCCAGAGTATACAACGGCGATGAAACTTGCTTTCTTCTCTGTCCCAAAAATAAGAAGGTTTTAGCTGCGAAAGGATCAAAAAATGTTTACCAAACTGAACATGATTCAAAAACGAATTTAACAGTTATGTTTAGTTTCTCGGCCGTCGGTGATATAAGCCCACCAATGATAATATATCCTTATAAAAGGCTTTCTGCAAATATTGTTAATTCTGTCCCTAAAAAGTGGGGAATAGATACGAGTGACACAGGGTGGATGAAAGAAGAAACATTTTATGAGTATATTGGCAACGTCTTCTATAAAGATTTGATAGAAAGGGGTGTCCAGTTTTCAATAATATTATTCGTAGATGGACATAAAACCCATAATACATATGAAACGAGTAATTTATGTAAAAAATTAAATATAATATTAATTGCGCTTTATCCAAATTCTACTAGGATCTTGCAACCTGCCGATGTTTTGACATTCAAGCCATTAAAGACTTTTTGGGCGAAGTGTGTGTCAAAGTTTCATAGAGAAAATTAAAGAAGTACTGTTACAAAGGAAACATTTGCTGCTATCCTAAAAGGTGTTTTAGAAAATTTAAGACCAGATGTAATAAAACAAGGATTTAAAAGTTGTGGTATATTTCCTTGGAATGCCTCGGCTATAGATTAGTCAAAATGTCTAGGTAAAAATATTGAAAAAAAAAAAAAATAAATTTGAAGACGGCATAACTATTACATTTTCAAAACTTAAAAGTATAATCGGAGAAGAAAGGCTACGATTATTTGAGAATATGAATGAGGAAACTTATGAAGACGAAAACCTATTTAAACTTTACCAAATAAATAAAGAATTTATGAATACCAATAGTGAACAAGAAAATTGGAATAAAAATATGTATTCTGAAGATGTTGAGCAAGAAATCAAAAATAATTTTATTATAGAAACTATGCCAATCATTTTAGATGATAGCAAGAATATAAATATTGAAAAAATAAAGGATGATACAAATTATAATTTAAATTTAGACAAAAATACAAATATGGAACAGTTAGACCATCACTTAGACTTTGAACCCTCTACTTCTTTCGCCATAAAAAAATATTTTATTTATCCCAAAACGCCAGAGAGAAAAGGAAAGAGACAATCAGAAAAAGTATCCTTTGTATTGACTTCTTCAGTTTGGAGAAAACATCAAGAAGATAAGATCGAAAAAAAAGAAATTAGAAGACGAACTTAAACAAAAAAGAAAGGAAGAGAGACTTAATAAAACAAAACAGAAAACAGAGATAAAAGGGAAACAACTAATTAATGGCAAACAGCCAAAAAAAGTCAGCAAAAAAGATGAATTCTGCTATCAACTCAAATAAAGCAAATGTTGGCGATGTTGCGAATGATGTGTTACATAATAATATTATTGATGCTACTAACAACGAATCCTTTGTTGCTAGGGGTGAAATAACATCAACAATATTGAACAATGGTGTTAAAGTTCATTTCCCTCAGGGTTATTCCCAGCCACAATTCTTTAAAGTTGAGGCACCTGATGTGAAAATTGTACTCAAAAACTGTTCTCTAGAGAATCGTTGCGAAATAATATCAACAAAACTAAGAAGTGGCATCAAAATTCATCTCCCACTCATCGAATCAAATACCTTGTTAACATCTGCTACAAATAATAAATCTGTAAATGATGATTTTTTTTTCAAACCATGAGGAAGTCGATATTGAAAATGAAAATATTTGTGCAAATACTGAATCTGAAGATTCTTTAGTTCCTATTGATGATATCACCACTAAAGTAAAAACTATAAAAAAAAAATTATTTTTCGATGGCAAACCACAAACCGATAAAAAAATTAAATTAGTATCCAACATTTTACTTCGGAAGTCAGATGAAAAAACGTTTAAAAATAAAAAAGTCACCAAAGGACTTTGTTACAATTGTGTAAAAAATATTACATCGTCCAGATGTGGAGTTCGATGTTTAACTAGTCTTCGCACATTTCACTTCATATGTGCAAACACAATCCAGGATGGATTAAAATCAAAAACTTTTAAGTGTAAAAGTTGTGTGTCGAGTGATTCTTAATATTAATATTTTTTTTTTGTTCTAATGATCTCATATTTAATAAAATATTTTATAAAAAGAACTTAATACTTATTTTGCATATGGCCAATAACTGTGTATCTAAGGTGACAATCACTAGTGGCCAATAACTGAGTTTTTGTGTATTTTTTTATTCATAATATTTTTTTATATATTTGTGTAGTTCAGATGGATAATATTTTGGTCAAACTGAAAAGTTGACATTCCAATATATTAAAAACAACATTTTTAAGAATATTGTATTAAATGGTCTTAAATGAGAATAGCATGAAGACAAGAACTATCCTTAACTGGCCAATGACTGTCTCATTTACCCTATATGTTGCAATGATAGTTGAAAATTCAGTAAATGCTAGATTTTTATGGTTAATGCTAGGAATTACTTAAACCATTAGGAAATGTTATACAGGAACAGAACTTTTATAGTTTACTAGTGAATCTTGGAAAAATCTAATTAAAACAACATTAGCTAGTAAAAGCAATTTCATATTTGCAAACTTTATTTAATTTTGTTATTACAAAATAAAATAAACAATAAACAACAAAAAAAATCAGTTTTCTTTAAAAATTAAAATAAGAACGGTTTTCTTTTACAAAAACATTCAATTTTTTAACCATTTATGTGGAACAGTTTCATAATTTTGTAGTTATAGGGATCTTTTACCTTTTTGTTTTGCATATTTAACTTTTACGATTATTGTTTAACGCAAATTTTTTTTTGCGAAAGCCGATCTCATTTGTTTTCAAAA